TTATATTACCTTGTTTGGTTCAAGTTATGAGATTACCAGGTAATGTTGTATTACCTGAAAGCTGATGTGACGGTAATGTTTCAAGGTAATGTGATTACCCCCATTTTTTTTTTTAGGTAATCTTAGATTACTTTGAATTATTCCAACTTTGTCATTGTTAACTAATAATAATAATAATAATAATAATAATAATAATAATAATGATGATGATGATGATGATGAAATTAATATATGTTTATATAATCAAATATACATATGTATATTTATATATTTAGTTTTTTTAATATTTAAGCTTTGATATACATTCATAGATATAAATAAATACACATATAATATATATTATTGAGGATACTATTGTAAATTGATCCATAAAACCTAAAATATAACTCTGAACCAAACAAGGTAATATTATATTACACTATCCAAACCAAACAACAAGGTAGTCTTACATTCCTAAAATCTCACATTACCTTCTAGGAGGTAATCGTATTACTTGGGGTAATCAAAGATTCCGTGAACCAAACGCCCCCTTAATACAATTTATACTACCAACACAATTTTAGTTCCAATTAAAGACTAACTTCATTAGCTCTTATTAAATTTTAGAGTTATGTTCAAACTTATACAAAAATATATATAAACATAAATGTACAATCCAACTGACAACTTAGGCTTTTAGTTGAGATAGAACATATGCTTCAATTTGGTATCAGAGTCATACCAAAGGACATGGGCCCATCAGAAGTGGTTCAAATCTCAGTTCACGTGTTGCTTGAAGCCCATCAAAAGTATCGACGTGTTGAGCATAAAATATATATAAACATGCAAGCAGACCCATCATTTGTCAAACTCCAAAAATATCATGATACAATTAGAATTATACCAAAACATAAACACAAAGACTAAACTCAATTTGTGGGTGCATTCAAAAACTCAATTTGTGGGTATTTATAAATAAGGGACACCTAAAAGCTGAAGGGCAATTTATATCCTACACTATGGCGCGCGTTGCACTATGCGCCCAGATGCAAAACGACGTCGTTTTAATTTTTTTTTTTTTTTTGAAATTTCCCGCCCCAGTGAATGGCAGTAGTTTTTTCTTTAAAAAAAACCCGCTGTTCAAGAATGTACATAATGTTATATTAGAATACACATAATTGTATACATGAATGTACATAATTATATAACAAAATATACATACTATTTTTAAAAGATAATACACATAATCTAACATAATACATAATAAACATAAACTTTTAACATAATACACATCAACTATTAACATAATACACACAAATTTTCTGATTCGGATGTACATAATTGTATAAAAAGAATGTACATAATTGTATAAAAAATGTACATAACTGTATGAACCAATACACATAACTGTATGAACAAATACATATAACTGTGTGAACAAATACACATAATCCCAACAACTTCCTACCGCGCCTCCCAAAACGACCTCAAAACGACGTCATTTTGGGAGGCGCGCGATGCACAGTGCTATGTGCGCCGTGGTGTATGGTATAACGATTGAAGCTGAAGTGCCGGCAAAGTGATTTTGGTAGATACAAATTTTGAATTTTAAAATTTTGATTAAATGTTGCCATCACAACAAACAATATATTTGGATGCCCAAGATATTAGAATTCCACATCTACTAATTCTCAAAGACAATATATTTCTTTGGTAAGCAGGCTATACGTGTTGGTTCTTAATAATAATAATAATAATAATAATAATAATAAGAAAAAAAAAATTCCACACAATAGAAAGAAGTTTCTAGACAAACATTGTATTTATCAATTAGCCTTTTCATATCTATAGAAAATATAATTGATAATAAAGAGTAACTATTGAATGTTATTTTCAAGGTGTCTTTTAAGTTCTTCATAACATTGTTTGTATGTTATTTTCAAGGTGTCTTCTGAAACAGACTTTTCACATTTACTTTTATCCTATACTCCAGTATAATTATCAACAAATGCATATAGGGTTAGCGTAGGTGGTGATGTCGGGGTTGTTTTGCCGATTAGGGGATTTTTTTATTTTTTATTTTTGATACAAAAATGAGACACTTTATGTTGGAATACTGATTGCAGTATAATTTGACAAACAAATAATACCCAGAGTATCGGGTTATCGATCCACGAGGAAGTGGGGCGTATTAAACACTAGCTACTAATCTATTATCGTGAAGCTAATCCTATCGAAAAAAAGTAGTTGAGCAATTGTAAATGTATAACTAATTAAAATAAACTAAGTGAGCAGGTTGTTGAAAACAATAGAGTTAAAAGTGGGATTTCTAGGATTCAAGTGTTTAATCACCTAATGCCAATCTAAGGTGCAATATTTAGTTTGGGTTTACACAAGTGTGAGAATGCAAACAAGGGAAGGAAATTACTCCCGCAACTCCAACCTAAAATAAGTGAATAATATTTGTTCCCACGATATAAACACTCAACAAATTAAGAACAAGCATTCAATATAAACTCTCAACTAATACCATCTTCCGATGTGCAATAGATAAGAATTAACTCCCTAACATACATGCTATCTCCCAAGGTGCAATAATTAAGTGCAATTGTGGGTGCTCTTAATTATACCCTAACTCCCGTTAAGACATGAAAATAGCGATGAAACAAGTAATTTAGGCCTTTAATTACTAGCAACAACAATATGAAACACAATTGCAACACGAGTAATAAATCCCAAACGCAAACATATTAATGAAATTAAGAACTAGGCACATAGGTTCATAAACACTTTCACTCAAAAATCCCTATGGTGATTTAACCACTCATGGCCATAATAACATTCATTACAATATCAAAGAATTCGCAATCAACTAAGGAAGTAAAAGAAAAAGGGAAAGAATTCTCCCGAATCTTTCTAGCGATTTTCTCTTCTCCAAAGTCAATTGCAGCTCTTGATGTAGTTCTTCTTACTTTTTGCTCTATTCTTGACTCAAAAAACGCAGCATGAGCCCATAGGATTGATGGAAGGTAATCATTTTATACCGGGAACCAAACGGGGGTAATTTAGGAAAATTCTGCGCCAATGAAAAAACTGAAATACGGCTCAATGCGTCGAGTCTTCAAAGCCTTCCTTTGAATTGCATACTGGAAATTTTCGACAGGCTTAAAGCGTCAAGTATTCGATCAGAGCTTAGACTCGGCCACTGGAAATTTTGGACATGTCGAACCTAGGGTTCGACGCGTCAAATCTGTGATGTCTTCAATTCCACTTCATTTTGGCTCCACTTATGCTTGAAAGACCTCCCTTGTTTTTGCACTTGTCCTACAATGGTTTCAAAACACTACCAAATAGGGGTAAGCAAACGGTCGGTCGGTTACATAACCGACCGAAAAATTGAAAAACCGACTAGAATTTTTAACCTTCGTAACCGATCAAAGTATATGGTCTAACCGACCGAAAAACCGATCGTCGGTTTCTGCCGGTTACCGAATAACCGAAAGATTAACAATGACCAAAAATGGTGAAGATGAATATACAGATACAAATAATATACAAATACATCTTCAAATACAAATACAAAAACTGAACGAAAGATTACTTGTCCCCATGATTTGTCGGTCCATTCATAGATGAAGATGAAGATACAGATATAAATAGAAATACATGGAGATGGTGAAGGACTGAAGGCGATGAGAGATCGAAGTATAGCCGAGGGCGCCAAGGCAGAGAACGTGAGGGGCATAGGGCAGTCTGGGCGAAGGGTGAGAGGCGCAGCGGAGGAAGGCGGTGAGAGACCGGAGAATCGGAGACGATGGAGAACCGTTGTGCGTCATTTTGTGGTCTGTGGCTGTGGAATGGTTGAGTGGAGAAGTAAATGCAGAATCGCAGATCATGTATTCAGTGTTTAGAAAATTAAGGGTTTGTGTTTTCTATTAATTGGGCTAATAGATTATTAGATATTTGGGTGGACATGTGCCATGGGCTATTTAACTATTAGACATGGCATACTGAATTATTGAAACACTAATTATACACTATATATATATATATATATATATATATATATATATATATATATATATATATATATATATATATATATATATATAAAAGTTGTTTATCGGTCGGTCCGTAAAATAATCGAAACACCGAAAAATCGAAATTTTTTTTATAACAATAACTGAAATCGACCGATAACCGATTTTTCGGTCGGTTCGGTTATTAGTTATCGGGCGGTTAACTAATATTTTGCTCACCCCTACTACCAAACACCATAAAAACATTCAAATCAAGTGTAAAATCATATCCTAATGAGAAAGCAAGGAAATAAGCATTGAACATGACAATCTAGTGAATTTAAGCCTCAAATTGATTCAAATTACAAAGAAAAACATGTACAAATGAGATTATATCACCTCCCACACTTGAACCTTTGCTTGTCCTCAAGCAAACCAATTTAATGAATCACAAGTCAAGCACAAAAATCACCCCTACTCTTTCATGCACAACCTAACATACCACAAACCAACTTACTTCAAGAATCATTTCAGTTTGACACACAAAATCCATTAATGGCCTAAGAATTGCCTTATGAAGAAGTGCATTATGCACTTCGTGATGCCTTGATTGAACATATGTGGGAAGGATATGATAATTTTCAAAATTAAATGTAATGAATGTTCTATGCTACATTATTATGGAATAAAAATAATATTTGCATTATAATTATAGTTTATATCAAAATATTTAAAGTTTTAATACAAAGTTTTAATTTATTAGAATACAAATTATTTTAGTGAAGAAATAAAATTTGGTGTAATGAGTTTGAGAGAAAAAAATTTAATGTAATAGTATGTTGAGAATTTTTTTTTTTTTTTTTTTAGGGGGAGGGTGGGAGGGGGGCTAGAGATGTTAGGGTTTAGATTTGTAGAATTTTCTAATAAATTTATGAAAAGAAAATAAACCCATATTTTGAAACATAAAAGCCACAACTACTAGCCGTCAAGTTACGAAGCTGAGCAGAAGAATGGTTATGATGGAGGCGCGGCAGCCGATCAAGCAGCTCATCCACTCGGCTTCCTTCGGCTCAAGCTACTCCGTCAAAATCCGAAACTCTTCCCCTCGCGTAATCGTTCGGCGCTCATCCACTTCCCCCTCCGGCAGCGACTCCATTCCAGTTATCTGTATCAAGAAGGTACGTGGAGCTAATTGGTCACGATTAACCATTCTTTGCTCATTAGTTTTGATTCTGTTTTCAATATGTAGAGGAAAAATTGGATAGTGTCGTCGCTAGTATTGAGAATGCAATGGTACGGACTGAGACTTGATTTTATACTTAAAATCGAATTTTTGTGAAGAACAGATGTGGTTGTGCTAATGTTTGAAATTAAATTATGAACTTAGTTTGCCGCCGAAAATCTATTATGAAGGTGATTGTGCTAATGTATGAAAATTAAAATGTGAACAAAGGCTTTGTGCAGTAATTTTTCTCTGCATTTGATTGTGTATACCATTCCCTGGCATTTGATTTCATTCTCAAGAGTCAAGGTCACATTAAAACTTGATTGTAACTTGAATGACATTAGAAGTTGAATCTTTATGAAGAATATGTGTTTGTGCAAGTGTATACCATGGTGACTGGAATAACTTTGATTGACGTATTGAGTTTTATAGAAGAATGTTTGGTTGTGCTAGCATATGAGATTAAAATTTCAGGAAAAATTTATCTGCATTTGATGATTGTGCATACCTCTCTTTGGTGTTTGGTTGTGTGCAGTGTAGAAAGGATTTTGTTCTAGGGAAATTGCCTCCTTAAAATGAAAAACTGTAGAGTGGTTTTCTCTCTAGAGTCATTTTCTGACCACGAAATTTGAACCTAACAATAGAGCTATATGCCTTTGGTTGTGTAACTCTCCATTCATGAATGACAAGGAATGCAAGAATCTACTAGTCTAATAGCATTACATCATGGTAATGAATACCTAAGAATGTGTTTCTTTTTAAAAAGGTGTTGCTGATGCTGATCCTATTTTATTAAGAGGAGCTTTAGAAAATTGATTTTTATAACCCTTTATATATTCATATTATTTCAATATCATAATATGATATTTCCTTCTCTAACAAAAAATTCATAGCATATATGTGACCTTAAGTTCCTAATGACAGATTGGTGGATTTGAAAAAGTTTGTAAGATAGGCCGATTATTTTCAAATGAAGTCAACTCAAACTGTTGTAATCCTGAATTCACCACCATCGAGGTAATTATTATAAATGTACAATTAAGCAGCTTTGTAATCATTTGAAGTGTTATGTGGAATTTTATCTTTTTTTTTTTTTTTTTTTTTTTTTTCAATTTTGGTGTAAATTGTCACTAGCTTTATCCTAGAAACTCAGAAATCAGAAAATGCGGCGCTTATTCTCTCTCCAACATAGAAACCACTTTTCAAGCTATGTGTCTTCAGCCAGCTCACGGATAGCATGCTTTGCCCGTTTGGGTCAAATCAAGGATGCTCGCAAAGTTTTTGATCAATTGCTTAACAAAGATGTTGCTTCATGGAATGCCATAATCTCTTGTTACTTCCAAAATCACCGGCCTATTGAAGCTCAACAATTGTTTGATCAAATGCCTAGAAGGAATATTGTTTCTTGGAATGGGTTGATTTCAGGCTATATGAAAAATAGGATGGTAAATGAGGCAAGAAAGGTGTTTGAACGAATGCCTGAACGGAATGTTGTGTCATGGACGGCTCTTGTTAGAGGGTATGCTGAGGAAGGGTTGATATCTGAGGCTGAAAGCCTTTTCTGGCAAATGCCAGAAAAGAATGTGGTGTCGTGGACTGTAATGTTGGGAGGTTTGATTCAGGCTGGGAGAATTGGTGAGGCAAAGAGACTTTATGACATGATGCCAGTGAAGGATGTGGTGTCAATGACTAACATGATTGGTGGGTATTGTCTAGCAGGAAGGGTGGATGAGGCACGTGAAATCTTTGATAGCATGGAAGTAAAGAATGCCATTTCTTGGACTTCTATGGTCACAGGTTATGCTGAAAATGACAGGGTAGATATTGCCAGGAAGCTTTTTGAGGTCATGCCTGAGAAGGATGAGGTGTCGTGGACATCAATGCTGCTAGGGTACACTCAGAATGGAAGAATTGAAGAAGCATGGAAGTTGTTCAAAGAGATGCCTGTAAAACCAACAGCTGCTTGTAATGCAATCATACTTGGGGTAGGACAAAATGGAGAGGTTGACAAGGCAAGGATGGTGTTTGATTCTACAAAGGAAAAGGATGATGGAACTTGGAGTGCTATGATTAAAGTTTATGAAAGGAAAGGCTATGAACTAAATGCACTTAGTTTATTCCGTTTGATGCAAAAGGAAGGAGTTCGTCCAAATTTCCCTTCATTGATTAGCATACTCTCAGTTTGTGCAAGTCTTGCAACTATTGATTATGGCAGAGAGATACATGCGTTATTAATCAGATCCAAGCTTGATGAAGATATTTATGTCTCCTCAGTGCTAATTACAATGTATGTTAAATGTGGTGATCTTGTCAGGGCAAGAAGAATCTTTGACAGGTTATCTTCTAAGGATACTGTCACGTGGAATTCTATTATAACAGGTTATGCTCGGAATGGTTTAGGAGAAGAAGCACTTGAAGTGTTTAGAGAAATGTGTTCACAGGGCATTGCACCAGATGGGGTTACCTTTGTGGGAGTTCTGTCTGCTTGCAGCTACACTGGAAAGGTGAAAGAAGGGCAGGATATATTTGAGTCCATGAATTCAAAATACCTATTAGAGCCAGAATGTGAGCATTATGCTTGTATGGTAGATCTACTTGGTAGAGCTGGTCGCTTGACTGAGGCAATGGATTTGATAGAAAAAATGCCTATGGAAGCAGATGCAGTTATATGGGGTTCTTTGCTTGCTGCTTGTAGGATGCATATGAACTTAGATTTTGGTGAAGTTGCTGGAAAAAAACTTTTACAGCTTGAGCCTGAAAAAACGGGTTCTTATGTCCTACTTTCTAATATTTATGCAACAAAAGGTAGGTGGGCTGATGCTGCTGCAGTAAGGAGAGACATGCGATCTAGGAAATTGATTAAGTCACCTGGTTGCAGCTGGCTTGTGGTGGAGAAGAAAGTGCATATGTTCACTGGTGGAGAAAGCAAACCCCATCCTGAACATCAAATGATCATCAAAATGTTGGATAAATTGGGTTCCATGTTAAGAGAAGCTGGATATTATCCTGATGGTAGCTTTGTTCTACATGATGTGGAAGAAGAAGAGAGGGTGCAGAGCTTGCGTTATCACCGTGAGAAGCTGGCTGTGGCATATGGACTTCTCAAGTTGCCTGGGGGAATGCCTATAAGAGTGATGAAAAATCTGCGGGTTTGTGGGGATTGCCATTCTGCTATAAAGCTAATAGCTAAAGTCACAGGACGAGAGATCATTCTTAGAGATGCAAATAGATCTCATCACTTTAAAGATGGCTCCTGTTCATGCAGAGACTATTGGTGATTTCACTTACATAATGTCAATAGATTGGCAAAAGTCCTGAATTTTCAGTTCAGTAACTTCCATCCCTTGAGGCCCAATGGTGAATATCCAGCTTTTAGTTGAAAGGAATTGGTGATCAGTATTTTCTCCTTCCAGTTGAGCTGTTCGAACAAGCTTATAGGAAGGTTTACGAGAGAATTGAATGATATCATCTCCTTGAAATTTACTTTCATTCTGGGGGTTGAAGAAGAGAGATAAGAAGGTGAAAGTGGTGGTGTCAGAAGCTGCATAAGAAAAACAGCAATGGAGATTGAGCGGGGAGGGTACAGTGTGGGTAATATATTTGAAGAATTTCTGAGATCAAGGATTTTGAATCCAGGTAGCCTCTCCCTCTCGCTCTCACACACACACACACACACACATTTTTACACAAACATTTTTTTTGGGGTGAAATTTCAAGAATCTCTCTGGTAAATTAAGTGTGTGTTTGCATTGTTAGAATTGAAAGAAAAACTTGATTGATATTTATAATTTGTTTTTAATGAGATCGAGTTTATTGATAAAAGAATTTAGGGTCCGTTTGAAAACTTGGAAAATGATTTCTAGAAAAATGACTCACTTTTCCAGAAAATATTTTCATTTTTTGGCATTTGATTGGAAGTTAGAAAACTATTTTTTTCCTGTTTAGTTTGTTTTTCAAAAAATGAACAGAAATATACTATAAAGTTTTTTCTTATCAAATGTTAATTATTTTACTAAAGATAATAATAATTGGAATACATAAAAAAATAATACTAACTTGATAAACCAACTATAAATAAGTTTTCTTGCTCCAACCAAAAGAAAGTTTTACAATAACTGATAAAGTCTTATGCTCCAACGAACATAACCATAAGGAGCAATAGCCTACATCATATAATTTTCAATCCATATCTTCTTCATCTTGGCACTTTTAGCCCTAGAAGTTCTAGCTTCTACATTATTTTTCATCTAATATTTAAAGGCAATACACAGATCTTCTTCATCAAATCCTTCACTTGTTCATAAAGGTCATTTTCATTGATGTCATTATTCAAAAAGTAAATGCCTTTTGCAAGCTCACCAAGTTTGTCAGGTACATGGTTAATTGCTAAGTCATATGCTTATCTTTTATGACTAGACTTTTGTGATGAAGCAACAATTGATGAAAATGTTTTTCCTCTAGTCTCCCCATTATTTTGTTCAAGCAATGAGTCAACAGCTATGTCATCAATTTCATTAGTATTCTCCAATTCAACATTTGTTTTACTTGTTGCACTTGAAACACTTGAACAGACTGAATTTGAAGGATACTAAGGGAACTGTTGACATAGCTGTTGACTCATTACTTGAACAAAATAATGAGGGGACTATAGGAAAACATCTTTATCAACTGTTGCTTCATCACAACAATCTAGTCGTAAAAGAAAAATAGATAACTTAACAATTGACCATGTGGTTGATAAATTTGGTGAGCTTGCAAAAGACATTCACTCTTTGAATAATGGCATCAATGAAATAAACTTTATTAACAAGTAATGGATTTGATAAAGAATATATGTGTAGATCCTTTAATTATCTGATAAAAAATGTGGTAGAAACTAAAATTTTTAGGGCTAAAAGTATCAAGATGAAGAAGACAAGGATTGAGAACTTTATGATATCGGAAATTGTTACTTTTGGTGATGTTGGTTAGAGCATGAGACTTTATAAGTTATTGTATTAAATTCTAATCTTTAGTTATAAATTTTTATTTATGGTTGGTTTATATATAATATGCATTATTATTATTATTATTAAAATAATTATAATTAATATTAATATTTTATAAGAAATAATTATGTAATAAATTCATGTTCATTTTTCAAAAAATAAAACAAACAGAGAAAGAACTTTTTCTGACTTAACACCAGAAAATGAATATTTTCTGAAAAATGAGTCATTTTCCAAAAACCAATTTTCTGGTTTCTAAGCAGACCCTAAGGGAACTTTTGAAGTTGCCAGCCTATATTTTTGTACATTGAGAAAAGTTGGGTTTTTGTGGATCATTGCTGATTTGATGTTTGCATAGGAAGATCAGATGTCACTTGGCTTACTCCAGAAACAAGTGAAAACTTGGTTTTCTGATTTTCATCAGTTGTCAGTGAGGAATGATAATTAGTAATTACAATTACAGTGAATTGGCCAATGCTGAAGAGATTTCCTCTATTCACAGTGACAGCATTTACTGTTTGGTATTCTTTGCAAATAAATGCATTCTAGATTTCTAGGGCTTCAAATTTGGCAAGCCCCTTCCTCCTGCGATAATTGGACATATAGATGTTTCTTTTAAATTGAACTTGGCACCTCTCAGACCAATACTACTGGATTGCCCTATGTCTAGATTTTCTGAAGTTTCAATACTGTCCTCTTGCATCTTAAATCTAATGGAACCCCGGGGGGTGTGGTTGAGTGGAAGGGTCTCATCCATCCTTAACCAAAGGTCAAGGGTTCGATCCTTGGCTTTGGATATGGAGTAACCTTAAATCTTCAGGCCAACAATCCCACCCAAAAGAGGTGCCTACAATTCAGCAAGGGGGATTAGTCACTGTGTCCGACGGTGGAAACCCTAGGTACACTCCAAAAAAAAAGCTTAAATCTTATGGAAGTATGCCACGTAAGTAATTACTATCGCAAATGCCTATAGTAAAAAAGGCATATTCTGCTTAATTTGCTCATGTTTTTAGGGAATTGATTCAGATTGCATGAGCAATCAGGAGTTTGGCAAAATAGCTCATTACTTTTCAAAGCAAAAAGTATCCGTTCACAATATTGTATACATCTTTTCGAGTCTGTAATTTGAGAGGCATGATTTTGTTGTCTTTGGACTGACACCGTTTCATTCCATCTTTTATTTATTTATTTATATATAGTTGTATCTTTCACATTCAAAGCTGATTCCTTATTACGCATAGTTGATCTAAATTTGTCTGCAGTGAACCAGTGAAAACAAACTGAACTTGTCTTTGCATTATTATACTTTGATGCTGTTAACCAGCAGCTCCTTTTGATGATGCTCTTGATTGGGCCTAGCTGTCCAGAAAGAAGAGTAGATGGGAAAAGGCTTTACACATTTTTTTGAGTGTACTCAGGGTGTTTGATGTTGGACTGACTAATTCTCTTGCTGAATTGTAGCACCTCTAATGGGTGGGACAGCTGGACTTGATATTTATGGATGCTCTATACCCAAAGCCAAAGATCAAACTCTTAATGTTTGGTTAAGGATGGATGATCCTTTCTCTTACTTGGCAAAAGCCAATATTGGACTTGCTGGTGATTAAGCTATCCAGTAAACTGTATGAATAATAAATCTTAATTTGATAGGACAGTTACATTTTGTTTAGTAATTTTTCATCAATGAAATGTTGAGAAAAAAAATACTTTCTTTGTATTTCATGGTGTTTTGTTTTTTGTTTGTTTTTGTTTTTGTTTTGTTTTGTTTTTATTTATTTATTTATTGTGGCCTCGTGGGAATAATTTTACAAAGAAAATTAATTAATATGTTTGGTGTTGCTCTAGAGGCAAAAGAATATTTGGTTTATTTAAGCTTTTCTATGATAATCTTTTAAATACTTTATATATTCTTGTTATATACAAACACTATAAAGAAAAATCATAATGAATAATTGAAATTTTAATAAATCATTTTCAAATTAATAAATTTTCAAAAAAAATTCAAATTAATAAATTATATGTCAAAAAATTCTAATATGTAAGAAGAATATTAAAAAATTCAAAATGGTATGATGTATGCAAAAAAATGTTTGAGAGAAATTTTTTGATAAATAGTATTATTATCCTATGTAGTGGTGGGAGTACTATTGCGAAAATTGTGTCTAGACGCTGACGGGCTATCTAAATTTTCATCATAATCGGAGTTTGTTTGTTTGTTTTTTTTTTTTTTTAAAATGAGTTATTTAACTCAAAACGACGTCGTGATGAGCTAAATCAAATAACTCTAAATCGTTCAAATCGGTTGTAAATTTAAAAAAAAGTATTTAATATTTTAATATTTTTTCTTTTTAAAAAAGAGAGCACATAGCGACTTTTGCAACCTTGGGTAGGAGAGACACATTTCTTATATTTGTAAGAAATTTATAACTTGACATAATTGAATAAATTTGATATACTCTTAATCACCTTGAAAATTCAATCATACTTTTAAATTTTTTTCAAAGTTTTGAACTTTCATACCTATCAAACAGTCTTCATAACTCATAGCAAAATTAACCAATTAAACAATAAAATTAGATAAATAAGATTAATTGAAAGTTTAACTTGCTAACGTATAAAATATAAGTTCGATTAATGGGACTTAATATAAGAAAGTTATTTAATTTATTTTTTATAATATTTTATTTTATTGGTAGTATATAAAATTTATATATTGCATATTATAACTCAAATTATTTATAATTCAATTTTTATAATATTTATTTTGTGGTTGTATATTAGAAATTACTCCGTATATAAAAATTACTGCTAAATATGAAAAATTAAATTTAAAAATATTTTTAAAAAACAAACAAACAAACAATGAACAGTATATAAAATTTGCATAAAAAATTAATATTCCATTTAATTCATATTCAACCAGCAAACAACTTAATTGTCCATCGGTAGTGTAACAGAGAATCATAAAAATGGAAGCAGAAATTGATGCTCCGTAATAAACATTATATTATATTTATATTATGTTATATTATATACAGTAAATGAAGAACAGGGTTGGGACTAATTTACAGGAAAATGATCTTGGCTGATCATAGATTCAATCCAAACACGGAGGAAGAAGCGTCGCCGGAATATCTTTGCAGGCTAATAATTGTCGTAGTCGTCGTCGTCATCCGATGATGAAGAAGAGGAGGAGGAGTTGTAGGAGTAACGGCGGATGTAATACGGGGTAGGAGGGACACAGAAGAAATTCCAGACGCGTAAAATCATGCGGCCGAGCTGCTGGGCAGGGAAACACAGAACCAGATCCAAGAGCTGATCGCCGGCGATGTGCTCCGGCAAGCACGCCAAGTATTGCCATATCTCCGCCGATCTCTTCGCCGCCGACACCAACAACACGCCATTGAACGGCATTTTTTTTTTCTTCTTTTTTTCAGTATTTAACGGAAGCTATGCATATAGTGTTCAATTGCGTATTCCTTTGGGTTCTTTGATTTTCTCCTTAGGCGATATTATTTTGAGTGAGGTATTTCGTCGAACAGGTGGGGCGTCGGTGTGCGGTTCCCCTGCCCTTTTTTGACTGTTGAGTGTTGATCGCTTCACGGTGGTGGGACTGCCCTGCCGCCCTCTGGAAATTTATGGATTATTTATTTAATTATATATTAGATATTAGATATTATTCGCAGTACTCTTTTTCTTGATAAGACTTTACAATGAAATTCTTTTTCATTATCAATTATTAGGAATTTGTTGACTTCATTCTGCGTTAAATAAGAAATTTGTTTATTAATCAAATAAAAATCATATATTGTCACATTATTAGACGTCGATAAGTTTGATGAAAAATTTTGAGGTACACTAAAAATTTGAGAGAAAAAATATTTTTCTATTTTAATTGATTAAAAGATTTTATATAATTTTCTAATTAGGCATTTCAAAATTCATAAACTCATTTTAGGAAACGTTTTTCTGACTCATTTTTTTTAAACCTAAAAGATTAGTACTTTACTTTTTTGTTTTTTACACGGCGTATTATTTTGAGTTAGGTATTTCGTCGAACATGTGGTGGGCTGCCCTGCCCGCAAATTATGCCATGGAATCGTGTTCACCGAGAATGGTGAATACAAGGCAAAACGACGTCGTTTTTAGGCCAAAAAAAAAAAATTTCGCGGATGTGGAGTTAACGGCGCGCGTTTGATCAAATTATGAATTTTCTGTTATGAGATTATGAATTTTATCTCATAACAGAAAATTCATAATCGCATAACAGAAAATTCATAATCTCACAACTGAAAATTCATAATCTCATAACAGAAAATTAATAATCTTATAACAGAAAATTCATAATCTCATAGTTCCAAAGTGAATGTGTAAGCATGGTTCCAAAGTGAATGTGCAGGCATGGATTCATAATTTATGAATGTCCGTGATTTCGGACGGGAATATGTAGGCATGGTTCCAAAGTGAATGTGCAGGCATGAATTCATAATTTATGAATGTCCGAAATTATGAATGTAATGAAAATTCATAATCTCATAACAGAAAATTCATAATCGCATAACAGAAAATTCATAATCTCATAACTGAAAATTCATAATCTCATAACAGAAAATTCATAATCTCATAACAGAAAATTCATAATCTCATGGTTCCAAAGTGAATGTGTAGGCATGGTTCCAAAGTGAATGTGCAGGCATGGATTCATAATTTATGAATGTCCGTGATTTCGGACGGGAATGTGTAGGCATGGTTCCAAAGTGAATGTGCAGGCATGAATACATAATTTATGAATGTCCGAAATCTTTGTTCACCTCAAATTAAAGTGAAACCGCAAAATGTGAAAATAAAGAAAAAAAGTCACGCAATTAATTTTTTTTAAAAAAAAAAAGATAACGGTGTACTAACACCGTTAGAACCGTGTTCACCATGAATGGTGGACACGGTTCCATGGCATAACGTCTGTGCCCTGTCGCCCCGGACAAGTTCTGAAAATTTAATTAGGGCATCCTTAATAGTTGGGGGTTTTACCCCATATTTTTGTGAGTTTCAACATCCATTTTATCATTCACTCTCTCACTTAATTACAAAATCTCTACTTCTTGATAATTTATATCCTACACCATAGCGCGCGTTGCACTGTGCGTCCAGATGCAAAACGACGTCGTTTTTTTTTTTTTTTTTTTTTTTTTTTTTGAAATTTTCCGCCCCTGTGTATGGCAGTTAATTTTTCTTTAAAAAAAATCTCTGTTCAAAAATATACATAATGTTATACTAGAATACACATAATTGTATAATAAATGTACATAATTATATAACAATGGTAGGGAATATCCCGACCGCCATAGCTCTACCACGACCGAGGTGCCTTTGTCTTTGTCTTTTTGTCTTTGCAGGTAGCAGGTCGGGCTTTTTATGAAGAACCCGGTCGGGAAGCGACCGGGAGTTGCCCGAGCGGTAGTGTCGACCACCGAGCGGTAGCCCTTTGGCGAGGGAGCTGATAAAGGACACATGGCGGCTCTCTGTGGCGACAGATAGGGCACCCGGGAGGATGACACGTGGTGGCTATGTGGAGAGCATGCCGAACGACCGGATTTGTGTCTCCGGCGCAGCAGCTATAAATACCCACAGTAGCTACAGTGTAGGGGACTTTTGGACGATCGATAGGTTGTTACTAGAGAATCCCGACCGCAGTCAGTCGGCACTCAGAGCAACCAAGTAGATTGTACTTAGGGCCTCTACCATGATCAATAAAGTCTTTTACTTGCTTTAATTGGTCTCGGGTTTATTTTATATTGCTTATGTAGAATTAGCAGTATCATTTTGGCGCCGTCCGTGGGGATTCGTGCGAGAAAGCAACGTCTTGACGAGCACCCGCTCCCTTTCCAATCATGTATCCGTGGGTTCACAACAACTTCGCCGACGACCAGCCGGACGCAGCGAGCTCATCTGGGCACCATGCCACCCAACAGCAAGGTCAGACGGTAGAATTGAATCTCAATATCTCACCACTGCATCCGTCTAACACATACCCGGTTGCCCAACAACCGGTGAACTACATTCAACCGGGGTACCCAACACCCGGTCAGCCATATCAGCAGCAGCCGGTGATGTATCCCGGCCAATATCCATACCCGATCCCACCTCCGCAGTACGGGTATTGGCCTGGCCAACCGATGTACTACACTCCCCCGGTTGGGTACCCACCATTTACGCCCGCTTACACGGCTCCAGCCGCCGCCCCTCCAGTTCACCCGACCGCACAGGTAGAGCCGCAGCGTCGGTCCGCTTCCCGGGCTCGACGCTCGGCTCATTCGCGGTTGGGGTCGGGGGGTGCTGATGCGATGGAGGCACCAGGGCAGGCCCAGCAAGCGGCCGAGGTTCCCGTCCAAGCGGAGGACCCCGAAGAAACTGCCCGAGCGGCAGCTTTTGATCGTCTTCGACCGGAGATGCGTCAGCGTTTGGGACCCCAAGACCCGAACCGCCAGCAAGAAGACGTGCAGATGCAGGAGGCCAGCCAGGAGGCTTCATCAGGGTATAGTGGGTCGAGGTCTCACCGACGGCGACACGCTCGGGATACAGCCCAAGCTGCTCAGGCCGCCGAGCTCAACGAGACCCGAGGATTACTTTATAACCTCCAGGCGGAG